GCTCTGTCACCCAGGGTGAAATATAGTGGCGCTATCTTGGCCCACTGCAACCCCCACCTCACGGGTTCATGCAATTCTCCTTCCTCAGCCTCCTGAGTAGCTGGGATTACAGGTGCCCGCGACCACACCCAGCTAATTTTTGTATTTTTGGGAGAGATGGGGTTTTCACCATATTGGGCAGGCCGATCTCGAACTCCTGATCTCAGGTGATCTGTTCACTTAGGCTTCCCAAAGTGCTGGAATTACAGGCATAAGTCACCGCTCCCAGCCAGAAACTTTTTAAGAACTTCTGAAGGCTGAGATTATTTCCCTTTATTTTAAAAAATAGTTTATATTCTAGAGATTATAAATTTGAAGTGAATTTAAGTAAAAATGTATATTACATATGTCTACCATAAGAAATTTGATGAGATAAAATTTTCTTGGCTGGGTGGAATGGCTCACGCCTGTAATCCCAGCGTTTTGAGAGGCCAAGGCAGGTTGATCACCTGAGGTCAGACGTTTGAGACCAGCCTGGTCAACATAGCAAAACCTGTCTCTACTGAAAATACAGAAAGTAGCTGGGCATGGTGGCAGCTGCCTGTAATCTCAGCTACTCTGGAGGCTGAGGCAGGAGGATCATTTGAATCCAGGAGGTAGAAGTTGCAGTGAGCCAAGATCACACCATTGCACTCCAGTCTGGGCAACAAGAGTAAAACTTCGTCTCAAAAAGAAATATTTATTTCTTCTGATTAGAGAAGTTTTTTTTGCATGTATAGCTTATATGAAGTATAATTTATACAGAACACTAGTAAAAGTATACATATTTGAAACATTTATAACTGATTTAATTATCTGAATGTATAGAGAGTTTAAAGTTCATTTACCTGAAGCGGAATTTACTTACACCTGGCTTTTATACAAAATGCCCACTCTGATAGGATCACTAGATTAATCTTCTGGGATTTTTGAGTTAAAATTTTAGCTAATTATTAATGAACTAGAATATTTTATTACTTAAATTTCTTTATAGCATACTAGGTAAATAAAGATTTACTTCTAAATTAATACCAAGGCTTAAGCTTACTGTGTTAACTGTTGCAAAAGAGAAAAGCCTATATAAAATTTTGGTGCTACCACAGTGCTAGAATTAGAAAGAAAAGCAGTGCTGTCTATGTTTGCCTCATCTGCATTTACCTACCATCAAATTAAAAACTGAAAATCCGGCATTTTCGATCATCATTGTCATCATCCTATCGTTTCTGTCTTTGATAACCTATTTGAAAACTTGAAAAATAAAAAGCCGTTTTTAACCAGTTTTTAAAAAAGTGATCCCTCTTAAATTGCGGTTTCAATGCCCACCTCTTCCAAGGAGCTTTCCTTAGTTTATTTCATTCATTTACCTACTTAGAGCTCGATTTCTGGCTTACCTTTTTTCTTACAACAGTTCTTGAAAATTACCGTGATAAAAATGATTATGTTTTTGCCAATTATATATATTTCCAAGTAAGTCTATACCCTTAACTGAGAATCAGAATCTTGGGTTTCTTTAACATGGCAACAAACCAAATATTTGTGGTACAGTTATAAATGTTTTTCAAAACACTAATTAACAATTTTTGAAGCTCCAATAAGAATGTTGTTTTTTTTCCCCATCTTAACAGCTACACTCTACCTCACAGAACATCAACTTGGGACCATCTGGAAATCCTCAGTATGTTTAATTTGTTTCAAACAATTCTTTAACTGAATTTTAGGAATATCTTTTTTGAGAGTATGCAGATATGTATAATTACATTAATTTGACTGGAGGCCTTTGAAATATAACCATAGTTATAGTGAATACAGTGCTGTCATATGCTTGACTAATTTACTACTCCACATTTTCATTGCTTTAGGAGAACCCTGAGGAGTTTTTAATCCACAAATTGTTAATTGGGTTCTGCTGTTTTGTCATTATCACTTTTCTGGGGTGGGTGTGGGTGTGTGTGTGTGTGTGTGTGTGTGTGTGTTCCCAAGGGACCATAAGTCCTATGAGGTCTTCTGAAAAAAAGCACTCTCGGAGGCCTAATTGACATTCTGCTGGTGATTGGTGTGATTGGTGTACTCCAGTTGTTAGCCAACTTGTTCAAGAGGAGTCATAATGGACATTAGCATATTAAAGGCTATTAAACTTTGTTTACCCAGTTTCTCCCCATATTCCCAGACTAATTGATTTGTAATGTCTGCCATGGTTTGGAGAAGGAATATAGTGTTGCTGTCCTTACTTGTAATTATCCTTACAGGCATATTACATTTATTCTGAAGCGTTTTTTAATTCTAGGCTTTCTCTACCCTTTTGTTCTACTTGGAGAATGATTATAGGCAGATGGGAGAAGTGGTCCAAGGGCTTTATCCTGGGACACTTCAACATTATGAGGTCAGGAAAGAACTCTAACAGAGACTGAGAAAGAACAGTCAGTAAGATGAGAGAAAAACCAGGAATATGGTTTCCTGAAGTCAGGGAAAGAGTGTCTGGAAGAGGAGGGAGTTGTCTCTATTAATGTTGCTGATAGGGCAAGTAAGATGAAGACTGAAAATTGACTCATGGATTTCATAAGTCACTGGTGACTTTTAATGAGCAATTTCAATGATGTGGTTGTTAGTATAAGACCCTGATCAGAAAGGGTTCAAAAGAGAACCAGAGGGGAGAGGACAGCAGGTAGAGACAACAAATTTATAAAACTTACTTGAAGAGTTTTTGCTTCAAAGGAAAGCAAATAAATAGGATGCTAACTGGAAGTTTGGTTTTGAGCATTCTTTTCTGTTCATAGCATCATGAACAAAAGTGGCAGCACAAAAAATGGATTTTTTTTTTTTTTTTT